ATTACAAGACAGTTATTGTAGCTCCTCGTGTGGTGGATGAAGTGTTTTGATTCAGCTGAGTTCCCATCCAAATGTGATAGCAATGGCTCTGGAGTAACTGGTAGAACTTCCACTTGTTTTTTACCTTTGTTTCAACACACCCGATCTGGTTAATCCTTGAATCTGAGAGGATTACAGTGCTTACACTGATAATGATTGATCCAATAGATATCTTTGGATGATTTGAATAGTCACTGACACAGTTGTATGGAAAAGCCAAATTAAACAGGCTCAAAACAAAGTTGCACTCCTTATAGCATGATTGTGATTATCACTAACCTGTCTGACATGTCTTTCATCAGGTATTTCCAATGATCTTGCAATTCTATGACTTGCAGTATCTGTTTCTCACCTTGATAGTCTGTCTGTCATCCACTGCAGCTCTTGATCTTCTCTCCTTTGCTGTATCTGCTTCTCTCGGTGAAGTATCAGTCATCTCCGTTTCTTGACCTTTACTTCCTTGTAGCATCCGCTTCTCTCGTTGCTTGAGCCTCCTCTGATGTTTGAGATGCTCTTGATCTTGTCTATATTGCAGCATTTGCTTCACGCCTGACTTTTATCTCTTCTGGTGTTCTTGATCGTCTATAGATTGCATCATCTGCTTGTCTCCTAGCTTCTGCTTCCACGTGTGTTTCTTCTGTGCCTCTCTCCTTTTGTCTTAGAGCTCTGGTCTTTGGATTTTTCCATAGCATTTTGAAGAAATAACTTTGAATTCTTCAATTCACTCCATGGAACTTCAAAACCTCACTTTAAATCTGGTCTCTAAGTTCAATTCTTGCCAAATGACTGATTTGAGCCGAAACTCCGATTCAGGCCGAAAATTGAGTTCTTCAAATCACAAACTTCATAGAACTTCAGCTGTAGTGAGTTGTGACGTCGTCCCCCGGTCGCAGCGCCGACTGTGACGTTCTATCCTGATCTACCACGGCGCCAGTTGTGACGTCCCCAAACAGCACCAATTGTGACGTCCTCGCCGCGGCGCCAGCTGTTCGCTCCTCGCTGCTCCGTTCGGGTGTCTCTGCTCCAAACGTGACCTCCACCTGTCGCGTCAGTCGTGTTGTCTCGTTCTGTGACGACCAACTGGCTTGGTATCGGTCGCGGCACCCAAATGTGACGTTCTAACCTTTTGGTGATTCGGGTGGGAATCTGGTTAGATTTGATATCAACCTCGTCGTTCCCAACTCGCTTCCAACGCCTGGTTACCAAAGGTAATTGCATTGATCTCCAGTCTGCCTACCCACGTTGTGAATTGATCTTAGACAGACGAGATCAAACAGTGGTTGGGGCCGTAATGCAAACTAAGTTCAACGGGGTGATACTACACAAATATGCATAAAAGAAAATAAAATGAAAACTCAAAAAGTTCAAAGTATCAAAGAAAAAAGGTAACAAACTTTATGTCTAGTTGTTCGATACATAAGACTGCATCTATCTCCCGACCCGTTCTGTGGATTGTGACACGTCGTTTTCCGTTAGGCAAGTTTTTAACGCTTGAAGTTGTTTGCTCTCTAAGAAATTGGCGTTTCGGTGTGTCTTTGGACGAAAGTCGAAAAACTTATTTCGGTGGTATGGATCTAAGTCGCTCTTCAAAATAATTGTTCTTGGGTTGAAGAGGAGTCCGGAATTTTGCGTGAATCTTGGTCAGCTATCTGCGAGGCGGTTTCAACTGGAGACTGACTCTGGGAGCTCAACTCTGGAAACTCGAGCCCGAACTCTCTGATTTCTGCCTGTTGGGGCCTAGCTTTTATTGACGCCGACCAAAACCGGGATGGGTCTGTCGGTGTCGGGGGGTTCTTCGATAATTCTAAATACATATCCACCTCTTTTATTTCTGGTTAGGGATTTTCCACTCTTTTCCATTTTTGGGAACCTTTCCTCACTCCCACTTTCTCACCATACTTCTGAGGGGCGTGAACTGCCCTAACCACTTCCTCGTAGCAGCTTCTCATACTTATACTCTGGATGAAGCGTCGACAGCCTCCTTCGTGCGTCACGTGATCACCACTTGACCAATGATGTCTTAGTCGGGCGTAAACGAATCCGCGGCTTTGTTTCGGGAAAAAAAATATCTTGCTTAACTAAAAAAAAAATTATCTCTTCTCTTTCCCTTTTTTTCCGCTTTAATCGCCGTTATCACTTCTCCAGCGGCAAACGGACAATATGACAACTCTTGTTCCACACGTGGTTTTTGTCAGGTATTTTATCGCTAATTATGAAAATGGGTGGTCTTCTTAACACGGCCTCAAAAAAGAAATATCTCTAAAATTTCAGTCAGTCTGTCGCCTCCAAGGAAGGGGAAAAAACACTTCTGGGTCCTCATTCATTTTCCTTCGGTACATATTTCTGATAACATAATTTTATTATCGCAGGCCAAAGTTGTTTCGTCGAAAAAAATTCGGTCAGCGGACACGGCTTGTGTGGTTTTTAATTTTTCATATCTACCCAAAGTCCTGTAGTTACACCTGTGTTTTGTCAATTATCAAAATTAACGTTTTCAATTGAATTTTTCTTTGGCCAGTCGAGCAGCCCTTTGTCTAGGTAACACCGCCGTTATCAAAACACATCTGTTTCTTTCTTTCTTTCCCTTTCTTCTTACCCAGAATTTCCCTGTCATTGAAATGACACCCTTTCGTCATGGTTACTTATCAATATATTCATTGTCTCTTAGCCGTGTGTGTGTTCTGCTGATCACCCACGATTCGTCTCGCCTTTCTTTCTGCCTTCTTTTCTTTCTTTTCCTTTCTCTGCCTCGTAAATGGTGCCACAGAGTTCTTCAAATCAAAAATTCTAAAGAACTCTAAAACCTCACATCACGAAACCTCTCACTTTAACTCTGATTCCTTGTCAATTTGAAGAAATAAAATTGATTTCTTAAATTTACAAAGTTTTGGAGATATTCCAAACTGAAATTAAAACAAACATTTTTAAATTCACAAACTCTTTGTGTTACTTTAAATTCAATATAATTTTTTTTTAAAACTTAAAATCACTAATTTTTTTCAGTAGTTTTAAAATTTGAATTTTCATCTGTTCACTCCTCCTCCTCCGAGCACAAATCCCAATGCTGTATATTCAAGCACCAGATGAAGGGCATATTTTCAATCCTGGGATCATCCTGATTTCAAAAAGGTATACGTCTATGTATGGCCCGTGTTAGAAGTGTTTCAGACACACAGACGGAGAGAATTTACTTTTTATTTATTTAGATTTATTGCAAGTTCCAAATAATAAATATTGCAATTCCCCAATCGGCGAGGCTTCGAAAACAACGACTGCATCACTTGTAGAGGGATGAAGGATAAGACGACCACAAAACGGGCCAGCATCTATCTTTTGGTGTTAGTATCAACCGAGCCTATATCTACCTTTTCAATCTAGTGTAAAACGAACCGATGCTTAGCCTTCTGACTCTAGTGTAAACCTGACCCATGTGTAATTTTTTGATTTTTACTTAAACTGAATACATGTCTATCTTTTTGACTCTAATGTAAATTGGACCCATGCTTAACTTTTTTTACTCTTGCGTAAAATGAACATTTTCTTTGCAATCATTTCACCCCCTCCCCAATCAAGGCAATAACGCCACTAAAACGAACGGAGTTACTGAGTTTGAAAGAATATGGGAAAAAGAAAATCAATAAGACAACAGGAATTAAGAAATAACGATTGACAAGGCATTTAATGTTTTCAAAATCAGTGTTAATTCCATCGCTTGTAGAGGAATAAGACCCCCACAAAAAGAATCGGCTTCTAGATGAGTACCTCTACTATTAACCGGACCTACAGCTACTTTTTTATTTAAACTGGATCTATACCTACCTATTTACACTAATATAACCCGAGCCGATATCTACATTTCTGACTCTAGTATAACTCTGACCTATGCCTGTCTTTTTAACTCAAGTGTTAACCAGACATACCTTTTTATTCTCGTATAAACTCTACTTATATCTTTTTTTTTAACTCCAGTGTAAATTGAGCCCATGTTTACCTGTTTGATTCTGGTATAAACTGGATCTCTATTGCCTTTTTTACTCTAGTGTTAACCGGACCTACATCTACTTTTAACTATAGTGTAAAACGGATTTATGCCGGTCGCTTTGACTCCAGTGCAAACCCGACATATGTCTACATTTTTGATTGATTGGACCTATATCTGTTTTTTTTTAAACTCTAGTGTAAATCGGGCCTATGCCTTTTTAAATCTACTTTAAACCGGACTTGTATTGCCTTTCTAAGTTTAGTGTTAACCGGACATATATCTAATATTAGACTATAATGTAAACCGAACATATGTCTCCCTTTTTGATTCACTGGATCTATATTTGTTGCTTAAACTCTAGTGCAAATCGGGCCTGTTTCTACCTTTTTAACTTTAGTGTTAACTGGACCTTTATCTACTTTTTGAATATAGTGTAAATCGGATTTATGTGGACTTTTTTGACTCCGATGCAAACCGGAAATATGTCTACCTTTTTGATTCACTGGACCTATATATAACTGTTTTTTTTTTTTGTTTTTTTTTTTTAATCTAGGCTAAACCGAGCCTATGTCTACCTTTTGTTTGTAGTGTAATCCGGACCTTTGTCTACGTATATATTAGTGCAATATGTACTATAACTTCTTATATTCGACATTAAATAAGCCAACTAACCTTGATATGTCGTTAAATTAACAAACCAACCTCGGAGGCGGCATTTGGCACTAATGTCAAGCTAATCTATGCTACTTGCATCAGCCGAGGCAACCGATGATGTGAAAACTCTGAATGCTACTTTGGTAAGGGGTAGAGATTTTCTTGAAACTTCAATGCTACTCCTCGTTGTCGAAATAAATAGTTCTCCGATTTTATGAAGAGTTTTTATGCCCAGCGGGAGTCATCTGCACGGCTACTGATGGTTCTCTGCTAATTCGCGTTTATCTGGATAAATATATCTCCCGCAGCTACTTTCCATAAATCCATGGGTAATGAAAAGTACTTAAGGATCCTTGTATTTCCATTGTATTCTACTGTTCTCTCTCTCTCTCTCTCTCTCTCTCTCTCTCTCTCTCTCTCTCTCTCTCTCTTTACATTCTCTTCACTCCCCTTTATCTCTTTCAATTTTCATTTTAGCTTTTTCATCGCCGTGCACATTCTTTTGCTATTAATGCGTTCCACTTTATTGTTGTTTTTATCATGTTTTCTGGCTCTGCAACTTCTAGGTTTGCTGTCTTACATTTTGTCCCTTTCATGCTTCCATATGCTCTCTGGATCGACGTTCTGTTTCTTCTTTCTTCATTGGGATCTCTGTTATTTTTTTCAATTTTCCTCCTTCTCACTAGCGCTCTTTTTCTTACTTTCGTACATTCTCTTTCATTTTTCTTACTTTACATCATTCTTTCTTTCCTCCTCTATTATTGTTTGTCATTTCTTTCATTCATTTTTCGTTTCTCTCCGTTTTCCTTCATTTTTATTTATTTTTTCTCATTCATTTTTCACTTTTCTTTCTTTCGTTTCCATTTCTCTGTTCATTATTTCTTATTCATTTGTCTTTTTTTTTACTTTGACTTTTAGTTTTTTCTTTTTTTTATTTCGATTTTACATTTTTCATTTTCTTTTTTCTATTTTATTTTTTGTCTTTCATTTTTTTTTTCTTTCATTTTCTTTTTTTTTCTTTTTTATTTTCATATTTTTTGTCTTTCATTTTTTTTTCTGTTTCATTTATTCTTTCTTTTTCATTTTTTTATCTTTTCATATTTTTTTCCATTTTTCTTTTCCTTCATTTTGTCTTCATTTCTCTTTTTCCTTCCTTTTATTTTTTCTTTCTTTCATTTTTCATTCTTTTGTAATTCTTTCATATTTTCTTCCATTCTCTTCTATTATTCCTTCTTTCATTTTTCTTTCTTTCGTCGTACTCTCATATCTCTTTTTTTTCATTTTTATTACTTTCGACATGCTTTCATTGTCTTTCTTTCATTTCTTTCTTTCTTTTTCACTTCTATGCTTTTTTTATTAGCCTCTTTTCTCTTTTACTTCTTCCTTCCTTTCCTCGCGTCACTCCATCTATCTCACTTCAGTCTAAGGATCTGAAAAAAAGCCATCAACAATAGCGATATCGTCAGACTTTAATTTATTTTCGCCTTCAAAACGCTTGCTTAAATGATCGACTGGTTGTGTTCTTCCTGAAAAAAATCAAAATAAGCCAATCACTCGTCTTATCTGAGCCTTGACCTCCAATGAAAGACAAATGCGACTGTAATTTCTCATATTACTATTCATTGCGCAAATTAATGATGGCCGAGGCTGTCATATGTGACTTAGCGAAGTGTTTTTAGATACTATGAACACTTCAAGCTGGAACAACTGACGAACTCACTTGCAATGCAAACGAAAAATACTTTTATTATCTTTATAGTAAAAGAAAATTGTTCTGTTGTCGGTGTTTCTATTATCAGTCACCAGATAAAAATGTACGCGAAACTTTCGGCCACTTAACCGAATTAATTCACCCTGCTGATAAATAAAACATGGCTACCAATTAAAAGTAACGACCGCTAAAAATGCTTTCCATAAATAAATGTATATTCTGCTTATTTTTATATCTAAAATCCAAATAATTGTTTCGCTGCATTTTTTTTTATAAATGTCCACTTAATACGAGTCTTAAGAGCTGCTCATGGTAAATAATTGTTAAATGAGCTCGTATTTACCTAGTCTCTCCACTGAATCTGGATGTTACACAAGGCCGAGTTTACTTTGGGGGAACCCGAGCGCGTACTCTCGAACCAGGGATAAAAATTTCCCAGCCCCGAAACCGTCGGTTGCGCTAGCTTCGGTATAACTACTGATTCCCTTAATGAGTGCATTGAGGTTGGTACGATCGCGGGTAACTGTTTCCTGAGACCGGGCACCTCACAGTATTTTATTTTCCCCAGCTGCGTCTATGTCCGCGGAGAGAGACACAACTGAGTCGCACTCTGTCTGAAGACAGAGACGCAATTGAGAAATGATAATCCTACCTGGCACAGGATAAATGAGGTCGTTTTATGGACGTAAAAGGGGGCAGTAAGTGCAGAAAAGATAACGAAACGCCAACACCGCCAAGCAGTACGAATTAGAATTCAGTCAGTTGTCAAAAAGTGAATGAACACTTATAATGGTATGGGAAACTCCGATATACAGAAAACGTTATCCTCCTGCACCCTGAATAAAGAGAAAAAATACAGAACATGGGCGTACCACTCGGAGTGGGGAAAGGAGAATTGGGTGATGTAGTATCGCTATACCTTGTTTTATGGAGGGGGGGCGCAAATAGAACTTTTATTTTTAAATATGAACAAAATGACGAAATTCTCTTATAAAATGCTTTAATCTTTCCCTAGTCAGTAGTTAAAAACGAAAAAGAAAAAAAAATAAATGATGAACCCAGTCAAAATTAACAATGCGTTAATACTATTAATACAAACGAGAAAAAATGTCTAAAAAAGACAGAAAGAAAAACGCGGCCATTGTCGAGGATTTCAAAAAGAAAATAATTGTAATGAAAAAAGTACGCAGGTGTAGGCTTTAAGAAAGCTTTATTCAATATATCTATTCTGTATAAAAATACAAATTTGTGGCACAAGGCCGAAGGGAAAATAGGAAATTGTCTTTCACTAGCTATCCTATTCCTAGTTAGCCACAATCACGACCCATATTGATTTAATACAATATACACAATCCCAAGAACTTGTCCATCACCTCCAAATCCTACATGTACCACAATACTACATATTCACAAAGGACCTACAAAACACCCCATGACATAAAAATTTCAAAATATGCAAAAACATATAAAAATTTCATGATACATGAAATGATAGGGAATTGGTGAACCCAGAAAACAAGCTAAAATTTTAACACAAAGATAAAAACTAAAATAAATAAATGTTAGGAGGACCCACCCACCCCTCAAAATAATAGAAGTCTGCTTCTTGATTCTGTCTATTGACAGAATGAAGAGGCACACTAATTAATTGAATAGGGAGGGAAAAATAAATGACAGAATGGCAAAATTAAAAGCTAAAGTGGGGACAAAAACAAACTGGGGAGATTGGGAATCTCGACATGGATCATAACAGAAGAAAAAGCCGGGAACAGGCCGGGAGCAACACTTATTCCCATTAACTAGGAACACAAGATAGTGTCTAACTTAACCAGGGGGTCAAAAGTAAACCGCCCTGTTGCGTTAAGGGGACATAAAAAATAAAATCAAGGCTAGCCCCGTCCACACGAACCAGGCTCGCCTCAGTCACCCATCTTTCACTGAAATCTGTCGAAATCAAACGCTTTCGATCAGATCTGATTTTCACCTTAAATTGATGCTTAAAGAATACAATCAGATCCTGATACGAAGAACGTTAATTTCGCAAGATCCCCTCTTTTCGCGATATCCACACGACCATTCTTGCCACGGTTAGCAACGCAAAAAACATCATCCGCTTTACCCCGAAGAACGGGGATGACACATTGTCACACGCCTACGCGAGATCGATGGACACGAGCCGATCGGGAGCGATACGAGCCGTCACTTCCCTGACATAATCCCAGAAAGGGCGCACCTGGGGACAATGGTAGAAGGCGTGCGAAGCCGTTTCCTCTAAACCAAGGTCACGCCGATGACTATCTGGCAAATCTGCCTCACCCCATCTGAAGAGTATGTCATTGAGAGGTAGCACGTTCCGAATCAATCGCCAGCTAAGCGAAAACTCAGGGTAGCTAAGATAATCCGCCGCTGGCGCCCAAAACCAAAAGGATCGCAACTCTGGTGCCGACAAGCAGAGCCGGTCATACAGATGATCCTTTGACCTCCTCCAATAATTCATGATTTAATACTCTCCGACGCCGAGAAAGGTCACTGGACCGAGGAATGACCTTCAAGGCCGACCGACACTCACTGAGGAAACTCGATAACCATCCACAACCGCGATGGCGTTTACCCCAAGAAATGCGGGAAGTGATGGTAAGGCTAGGAAAGGCGTTCCTAACAGTCGACGCCAAAATCGAGTCCTCCGTCAAAATGTGGCGTAGGAAAGCCAACCTTGAGACATGGCGATAACCCGCCAGATATGGCAATCCCACACCCCATGACACGTACGTTGGTAAGAGGCTTTTTTATGGGCCCAATGTTTGTGACCACCCCACAAGAGTTTGATCAACAAACCCTCGATCGCCTCCATAAGTTTCCAGTAAAGAGGCTCTATAGCCAAGCGGTAAAGGATAAGGGGTAAGAAGTAAGTGTCATACGCCTCAGCCCTACCCTTCAAGAACAATCCTCTTCGAAGCCAAGAAAGGAAGACTTGTTTCGGTTAATCTTGGCCCCAGTCACCTTCTTGTACTGTTCAAGCGCCTTCTGCGCCCCCTTAATGTCGCTGCGACACGACACGAAAATGGATACATCGGCGTACGCAGAAACCCTAGCTCGCGCACTATCAGGCAAAACGGAGATTCCGCGTAGAGCCGGACTACACGGCCTGTCCCTTAGGCGACGAACGAAGGGCTACAACGTCAAAGCGTAAAGTAAAGGTGACAGTGGAAACTCCTGTCGGACCGAGTCAGTGCAAAAGCGCTCGAACGCCTTCCGTTCACCTGTACCACAGCACTGGGAGAGCGATACAGGAGGCTAATCCACTTGAAGAAGTCGTGTTCGAATCCAGCGGCCTGCAAGACAGCAGCCAGGTACTGGTGGTCAACACTGTCCAATGCCTTGGTCTGATCCAAATTGATCAGCGGTCTCAAGTACATTTCGTAGAGCAGACCATCAAGTCCCAGGGACTTGCCTCTGCCGACTTTCTTCAATGCCAAGTAGACTTCGCCCTCCGTGATCTCACCCTCGCAGCTAGCCGCTTCAGTCGGCGAAAGCCGAGGAAAGTCAGCTACATAGCTGCGAAACTCGTCGCCACTGAGACCAGGCTCCTTGGTAAAACGGCTCTCGAAATGCCGCCGAAACGTCTCACACATGTCCTTGGTCGACCTCAGAGAGCGCCTCTCCGGGGTAATGACCTCGCGAATGTATCGACCGGAATCTCGACGGATCTCTTCCTTGCGCAATTCTACGCCCATGTTCACGGCTTTGTTATACATCTTGTTCAACCTACCTGACCCTGGTAGCGCTGGCTAGACTCACACTTCAGGGCCTGCCTACCTACGGCTATCTCTAGGGGATCTCTCCACCCCAGTCACCACTCGGGACAGACTATCCTGTAGAGACTTCAACTTTATAGCTTTATCTAGGGAGAATCGTTGGCTATATTCAGTGGTGAAGGATCTAATCCTATCCTTAAGCCTCTCCCACCACCTACTCCCAATAACCGCCCCACTAATTCCCGCTGCATTCGTCTAGTCAGCCGTTGCTGAAAGTCCTACCTGTCCAGTAAGGGCAGATTGAACTTCCAGTGTCCAGCCATTCTAGGCCTAACACCATCCGGGCGCAGACGAATCTACGATCCGAATAGTCTAAACTGTGGAACGTGGGACAATTTAATAAATCTAGATAGACCCTTCTTAATAATATTTTGTCCAGGTAGCTGGCTACCTGGAGAGACGCCCAACTACGAGCCCACGTTCACATCTCCTCCCTCGGATGATCGACCCGGTATCTATCGAGGAGCACAAATTCGCCGATCAGATAAACCAAGCTACGATCACCCGATGCCTTCCCACTAGCTCCCCGACCCCTAACTATGTTGGAGTCCAGGACGGCATTCCAGTCACCATTAGGACTAAGCGCGACGAATCAACCAGGAACGGCCCCAAACTGACGGAAAAATTCGGCACGCTCCCCATAGTCGTTGGGCGCATAAACCGCAACGACCCGAAACGAACCACTGCTCACGGCAATATCAGCCACGATCAACTGGCCTCCCGCGTCGACATAAGCAAGATCCACCTTTGCATCTAGGGAACGTTTAACTAAAAAGGAAACATGTTTGGTCAGATGGCCTCCGTATGCTGAATATACATCAAAGTCGCTAGATATCCCACGAGCATCAACTTCGCAAACAAGGTGTGTTTCCTGGATCGCAGCTACATCCCCTCCAAAGGACCTGAGATCACAAAGCAGGCGAGCAGCCTTACCCAGGTCATATTCAGGCTGGCTGGCTTGACTGACATAATTTAAGCCTGAGTCCCTTAAATGCAGACTGGACGGAAATCTGCGGGTGTCAGGACCCCGACGGATTATCACAGGCTTCCTGTACCATCCAAGACAATTCCGCCGATATCTATTGGATGTGTTAATTTTAAGGCCCCGTATAGAGAGGAGTGGAGACGAACCGGGACCCTCCCTGCACAAAATCTCAAAATTTTCTTCAAATCAGTTGTACCCGTCTGGGCCATGCGTAGTTCGAGAAAAGCCTCTTTTGCCTCCTGTAAGTGGAACCACACCTTCAGATGTTTCCCCGTTTCCCGGGGTCATAGGAAAGTTTCAGGGATCCTCTACCGACTTCCCGTCGACAAGGGCGATTTTGAAAAGTGGACCCAAGAGGAAATTTTTCTGCGTTGAAAGCTCCTTCTCGGCTTCCTTTCTGTCAACTTTACAAATGTATTCCACATGGGAAAAGTGTTTTCTTTCTTTCTTCTTGAGGGGTGGGGTGGGGTGTACTTTGAAAGCGGGAGAGATGTGGATGCTTGGGGAGGTGTGAGAGTGGAAAGGGACGAGATGGTGAATAGCAGGTGACGATTCTTTTCAGGCTCTGACCCCTCTTTGAGTTGTTCTTGCTGCTGCGAGGCCTCCTGTTGAGGGGCAGGGCTTTTCTTCTGACCCTTTTTTGCCACCTCTCTCCAAACATTATCGGGAGCCTTGCCAGACATAACTGTTGTTTCTGCTGCTGCTACTTGGCTAGGCTGTGGTACTGTATTCCTTTCGGGACACGCTTTGGACATGGGCCTCGAAGCTCCACAAGCCCAACGATAGGGACGACGGCCCTCAACCACAACGGGCATAATTTTATCCCGACACAAAATATTGGGAATCTCCGTGAAACTCTTCCTTGTCAAGGAGACCTGCAGGACAAAATCTCGAGTGCATATTCCAGCCTTGCTGACTGTTGCAGTTACTTCCTCTACTAGGCCGTATTGGGGAAAATAAAGCCCCCAGCCTATCCCCGCTAATGTCCACCGGGACTCCATGGACGGAAATCTTTGTCCGTCTTGTACCCATATATTCTGTTTGGAGGCGGACTGTCTTAATAGTCAAGGTATTTTCGGCCAGTCTTCTCGCCTCTCCCTCTGTCGCCAGTAGAATATTCCATAGATTATTTGACCTTCTTGGGCCCTATTTGAAGGCTCTTTAGAGCTTTTTCCATTGTTTCCCTGCTGACCCCAATAAGCCTCCGAGTTCCTACGTCGGTGTTCAGCAGGGAGATAGTTCTTGTTTTTACCGCATCAATTGCTTCGGATTTGATCAGGAGCTCGTTGCCGTTAATGAACGAGTCATATTCCCCCTTAAGCTGTTTTTACACCAGGCCGTTTGTTTAGGCGTTGACGTATTTTGATTTTGCACCGCTGGTGTATCCTGATTGTCGGCCATGACGGTACGAAACCGCCACGTCTAAGCAAATAAACGTTTGCATTGTGCTGATTGTTATTTCTTACAAAATAAAGAATAGTTCAAAGAAAAGAAACAGTTTTGCGACCAAATAAGAGGAAATAAAGTCGTGGGAGAAAAAAAAAATAAAATCAAGCAAGAACGTGAAAATAAAAGTTGATAACAATAAGCACGTAAAACAAAAAATAAACCCGAATAAAGTTAATAAACCACAATTAAAATAAATACGAAAAAAAGAAAAGAAAAAAAGGATAAGGGGTTAAAACACAAAAAAGGATAAACTAAAGAAAGGGAACAAATAAAAACAAGTATACGCAAATTAAAGAAAACTGAGAAATGCAAAAAGTTTAGCAAAAATAAATTGATACACTTAACAGTTCGTAAAAATATCCAAAATTCACTTCAGCGAATTTAGGCTGGACAGTATCAAAATTTGGACGGACCAGCTTATAATCCAAGACGAGAATGAAGAAAGCTTTATTCAACTGAGAATAAAGGTTCGCGTATAGTGTCCTTTTATAGTCCCAGTAAGCAGAAATAGCTCTCTGAAAGAGGAGAGTAACAAAACAAGGGGAGACCACTCTTAATTATTCATAACAATAATAATAATAAATAAATAAAGATAAATAAAATATTAAAATCAGAAACGAACACGTAGATTACATTTAAAAAGACAGGATTCAACAATGACGATTGTCATGGATTTTTTTCCCATGTTTTTTGGGGGGGGGGGGTTTACCAAAAGATGGAATTCTGGAAAAGATCGTATACCATACTCTATGGCGAGGATATGATCTCTCCCAGAAAAAATCTGATACTCACAGGGCGGATAGAGAGAAAGTGGGACAAGGGAAAGCAATACGTGGCATACTTAACGGGTAGAACCACAAACCACAAAAGGAGATGGAGAGCCATGATCGCCTACGTCCTGAAGGGACACGGCACATAAAAAAGAAGACTCAGAGTGGGGTGCCGGCTATAAGCCTGTATAATAAATATGGAAATAATAGTGGTTTTAATGTCGAGAGAGTACTTACAGTTGAAGGACTTTTTGTGATTTCGAGTAACTTAAACTATGGCATATATACTGGCTTATCTATTAAGGGCTATTAATCACTCAACGAGACTGAAACGGGCCTCTCTCACCATACAGGAAAAAAAAACTATTTACTTCAACTAACTCTCTTGTTACTTTGAACAACATAAGCCGCAAATATCTTCAAGTGAGCAAACGAACTTTTGCTTATATTTAGCGTCGGGACATTTTATCCTCGTATGGACACAGGACAAAGTGATTCAAGAAATAACTTTGCAATTTCAACACCTTCATGAAATATGCTTTCCTTGCCCCGTTGAATTTTTTGGGTGATAAATATGAGTGTCAAACAGATCACGATCATGACGACATTGATAAAGCCAAATTCCTTGTTGAGAGAAAAAGACTTCTGACTTCAGCATTTTATTAATGTTGCAGCTATTAAAGACGGAATACAGACGTGGAAAGAAGACCCCCTTCAACTTTTGAAGTTTATTCAAAAGTATAACCTTGGGAACTCGGTTCCAAATATAGTAATTATGCAGAGGATTTTCCTCAAAATTTCTGTTAGTGTTGCTACCTGTGACAGACGTTTTTCAAATCAAAACGGATCAATAATTACTTAAGATCTACTATGAGCAGTTTGTGGTTGAGAAATCTTACCATACTGTCTAAAGGGCGACAGTTAACAGATAAAATAGTTTTTGACGATGTCACTGAAGACTTTGCCAACAAAAAGCAAGAAAAGTTACTTTTTAGAAAGTTGTAATTTTGATTTTAAAAAAAAAATGGTCTTATTTTTTTTTAGAATTTGAACACAGTTCGCCGATTCCTCAATCCGAGCCGTTATCATTACTCCAACGTGCTTTTAGTAAACAAACTTAAAAGGATCTCTCTCACCAAGCAGAAAAAACTACTTCAACTATCTTTCCTGTTACTTTGAACAACACAAGACGCAAATGTCTTCAAATGAGTAAACGAACTTTTACTAATATTTTGTGTCGGGACATTTTGTCATTGTATGAAAGTGACCCAAGAAATAACTATGAGATTTCATGAGCTTCATGAACTTGGCAAGAAATATGCCTTCTTTACCCTGTTGTATCTTTTGGATGACAAACAAGAGTGTCAAATCGATAACAATCACGACGACATTGAAAAAGCGGAGTTCCTCGTTGAGAGAAAAAAAAACTTCAGCATTTTATTGATGTTGCAGCTATTAAAGATGGAAAAAAGGCCCCCTTGAACCTTTGAAGTTTATTCGAATGTATAACCTTGGTAACTAAATATAGTAATAATGCAGGGGATTTTCCTTACAATTCCTGTTTGTGTTGTTACTTGTGAGAGACGTTTTTCAAATCCAAACCGATCAATAATTATTTAAAATCTACTATGAGCAGTTTGTGGTGGAGAAATACTGTCTAAAGGGTGACAATTGACAGATAAAATAGTTTTTGACGATGTCACTAAAGAATTTGCCAACAAAAAAGCAAGAAAAGTTACCTTATAGAAAATTGTAATTTTCATTTCATCGTAAGTCTACTTAATAAGCGAAACAAACTCTGTGACTTAAGAGGAATATAGCCGCTTGACAACGTTCAGTCTCTGATCACACCCCGGGTTTTATCCAGTCACGATGAACGGTTGCATTCTCAATTCGACATGCATTGGACGCCGTGTAAATGGATGGCAAAACAAGAACTGGGAGTGATGTCAAAAAGTCAAACCTTACTAAGCGCTACAAAAGATAAATAACGCACAGAAAAAAATCAGAAATAAGACTACGGAAAACCAAAAAAGCCTTACTGTCATATCACGTTGAAACACCAGTTCTCGCCCGGCCACCGAAGTTAAGCAACGTCAAACCTGATCAGGACTTATATGGGTGCTCACTTGGGAATACCAGGTGCTGTAAGTTTAGGTCTGAAATTGAAAAATTGCATCTACACATCTGGGCTGGAGTTGCCCAATCCTCGTTCAAAATCGCTGACGTGATCTTGTGGAGTAAGACTTAATATTGACTCTGCAGCCTCTTTCCCCAAAACGCAACGTCGCAATTCTTTCTATACAATGAGATAAACACTATGCTTTAGTTCCATTATTTCATAATTTTACTATTAGGAGAAACCAAACTACCTCCACATAGCCGAATCACCGACATTTCCTCTGTATTTCAGTTGTAAGAAAAAAAAGCTCCACTCAGACAACTATTTCCGAGGCACTGCTGCTTTGTGGAACATTCACTAGCGTAGATGCACGCTGTAATCTTAACCTCTTTAAGTCAAGTGTCAACCATTATATAGCCATCTTATCCTCATAATCTTCACTTCCTACCAGTTTCTCGTACATTCAAATTACATCCCTCATCCGGGTAACTCTCGAACCTTCTTTGGATGAACTTTAATATAAAAGAGCGTTCACCATTGTTTAGAGGTTTTATTTTTTTAAAAAAACACTACTTTGATTTCGATTATACAGGTTTTCTCAAAAGTTTTGAGAAGTGATTGGAATTATGAAAAACGGGTTTAAATATGAAAAATATATTTTCTTTGGTCTGGTTTATTTGCTTTTACGGCATATCAACCTCAATGGGTCATTTAATGCTGACAAGATTTTTAGGATAGGTTCGTATGAATAGGATATGTATTCTTTGTAAGAAATTAGTTTGTAGATCAGGTTTCATTGACATATTTTTATAAAGAGGATTTTTGTCGGGAGTTAAATGGTAATTTTTTTTCTTCCAAATATCTATTGCTGATATTTTTAGCATAAATATCTATTTTTATACTTTCATAGTGTTTTGACCTCAGTTAAGGTGGTTAACTTTTTCCCAATAGCTGAGACCCTAATAAGTGCTACCACCCCGGATCGCAGTGGACCTGGGGACAACAGCAATTAAGAGGTAGTTCTACGCACCTGAAAACCGCCCGATCAAAGAATTTACTACCGAATGTAGTTTATCGTTATACCCAGGACGCCTCATTGGGATTTCTTTTATCCCTCTGCAGAAGTACAGTCGGCGTATTCTAAATCCCCAGCCGACAAGGCGGAAAATATATTGATTTCAAGGTATAGACAACAAAGGAATTAGTGCTTCACATGGCGATCATCAGTGTCTCTATACAGCTCAAAGTGATAAGATACTTCCTGGAACACTCTTCTCAGCATTGAGTTGTTATTCTTTGAACTGCATCTTGTTATGTCCTCGTTGCATTGAATGAGGATAATACAATCAAGAAGTAGTATGTCACTTGCAGACGATGATGTCTTGCTGAAATATGTAATAAGTAGATAAGCAAGATCTTTGTTTACTCCTTTTATTTATTGCACAAAGAACAAATGTGGCACAAGGCCAAAAACTGGGGATGGAGAAGGCTAGTCTTCATCTGTTTTATAAGCTAGCCACAATCTCTGGCCCAAATATCTCACAATAATCCTTGCACCGAAACATTCTTACTTACCATTCTTGCTACATCCACCATCGTAACTCAGAGATTCTATGCAGCCCTAACTAGTCCCCATATGTACAATTTGTCTGTGGGGATGGGGAATAAAATAACAACTTTAAAAATTTATAACCTCAATATTTACAATGGAAACAGGGCTTATTTACAAGAAACAGAACAAAACAGTGTTAGTAATAAAAACATTAAAAAAAAAACTACAATCCTTAAATGTGACAGAAAAATCAGTTCACTGGGCAAAATTAATCCGAGATTTTTTTTTAAAAAATCAACCAATCATTCGACCGAACACTCCTTCAAACATAAATTCATCCAAGCACAACATACAAAAAACGGAAAAATATAATCGAAAGGCGTACCGCATTCACCAGAGAACTGAAAAGTCTGATCACCTTACAGGGGAAGGGAGGAGGAATTAAACTAAAGAAAGTTGGGGGTGGGGGTTAACAAATAAGTGGGACCAATGAGCATACAACCCCTAGCTAAGTTAACTTTAACGGAGAAAACTAAAAAAAAAACAACAAAACTAAACTTATTTTGGGTGGGATTGTCAATGTTCACTCCAGAATTTCCCAATATCCTTAATACTTAACTGGCATCAAAATGCCACTCTAAGTCATCACTATTTAATCTTTTCCGTCCTAATCTTAAACCTAAAGAATAAGATTAGTTGGGAAGAGGTAAACGCCTCGTCCCCATAGAATTCCTTCTGTCGCGTCGTCCATATCAGTCAGTTATGTGTCATGCGTGATACACGCTCAGGCGATCCTGTATCTTTCGGTACATGACTGACGAGGCAGATCTTTTCCCGCAGTAGGTTGCCATTTCTTTCTGCGGTAGAACAGTTGCCATCCAAGGCTATAGAACTCGGTCTGTCCCGCTGTTTACCCATAGCTGGGGGGGGAAGAGGAGGATATCTCAAGGGTATTAGCTCGTGTGAATGTAATGGATTCATCTTGAATTCGAACTCGTTAAAGAACAATCGGGTAGATGTGCGAGGCACCAACTTCCGCCTTCCCACAGACAAACTACGACCTCTACCTTCTCCCGCACTTCCGAAGAATTCATTTCCAAGAGGAGGTCAAGACTGAACTAGACGCCGAGCATCTCGTCCGTCCGTCCGTCCGTCCAGAGGAAAGACCCGGGAAGAGAATCTCCCTTCCACGCACCGAACCGCAAGCCTATTTGTTTACTCCTTCTTCTGATGATTATATGTATTTGGACGAGTCTAAATCCCTTTCAGGAGAGGTGTGTTCAGCTCCACAACAGATCTCTAAGCTTAGCTACCTCTCGAGTTTTCCTGCCGATGCACACGAAAATCGACATAAACCAGTTAATATTTTGTAAGAACAAAAAATATGAACGCATGATTCAAATCTTGATTGTTTCACTAAAATGGATAGTCACTTTGGCGACTACCTCTATATGTCTCTTTGTTTATTTTTATTTTTTTTTTGTTTGTTTGTTTTGCGGAATATCAACTCTTTATTAGTCATTTTATGCCGAAATTTTATTTTCCGGGGAACATTAATAATTTTCTTTACAAAACTATATTACTGGTAATTTTGTTGTTTCCAAAATCTATTACTTCTATTTTCACTATAAAAATGTATATTTATACTTTCATATAGTTTAGTGGCACATCAACTCCTTATGAGTCATTTAATACCGAAATTTAATTTTCTTGTGAGCATTAGTAATTTTCTTTACATAAATGTGTTGCTGGTATTTTTTTTTTTTTTCAAAATATTATTGCTGGTACTATAAAAAATGTATTTTTATATTTTCCTATTATTTGACCCAAGTTTAGTGGGGCTCACTAGTTTCTCATAGTTGGGACCCTAACAGGTGCTACCATCCCAGGTCTGGATGGACCTGGGGACAATGGCAATTAAGAGGTGGTTCCTTGCTGCCGGATGTAGTTTATCGTCGTACTCAGGACGAGCATGTATATGATATTATGTGTAACTAAATAGCAAAATGAGCGGGATTCCTATGATACGCGTCTCGTCCTAGTAAAGGAATTCTTTAAACTAAATAATGCTTTTATTGATGAACTCATGTTTTAGTGGGGGGGTGTTACGGAATACAGCAAACGTGACATCCTCCAGCTTTCACCCACTTTTGTTTTTTATGCAAACATTATATAGAGGAGACACGATGGAGTAATCAGTAGCGAGTCGGATTGCGTAGTTGAAGAGCTGAGTTCGAATTCCAGTCGAGTTTGTTGCATCCGCTTACATGCAAATTCCCTTGGGAAGGGTATGAATCTACATCTTCTTCCCCAGCTATGGGTCAATAGCATAGGACAGACTGGGTCCTATAGCAAACAGCTCTAAGAGTTGAATTCAAAACCCACACCTATGGGTTAATTAGCCTCACCAAACCGCAATATGTCAAACAGTGTGTGTATGGTTACAACAATGAAGACATGGTCAATCAGCGCGGAGTTCCACCAACAGGCGTGAGAAGGCCTTGGATTTGGAAATGGTTGAATTTATATAACTATACTAGCAGCATGGCCCGGCGTTGTCCGTGCTTGATTCAAAAATCGTACGACTCATACAGCTATCACTTGACTTAAAATATTTTTGCCCTTCCTTGCCTTTAAAGGAGTGCCCTTTGCCGTGCTGATGTTGCTTCATGCCTTACTTCTTGCCTATCTCACACTGCGAATTTTTTCTAAGCGCTATACTAAACATTAAACGTGTTACGAAAAAAGAACTAAACAAAATGAACACAAAACGATCAGCTTTAAAAAAGGACTCGTAACTGGAAAAACCGAATGAAAAAAGAATGTTAACAACAAATACTTTTTCACACCCAACCCAGTTCTGCGGAATCAGAATCAACGTTGAGTTTAAGCAAGCGAATGAGCCAATTGGAGTAAAGTGCCATGCAGATTTTTCCCACTTGTGACGAATGCAGCTATCGATTTTTTTTTTTTTTTTTTTGCATGCTAGCATGCTAGTTAACATTCGTGTCAGTCAGCTGTTGGCTCTCACGCTGGCCAGTAGAAAATGGCCGCAAGCTACATGAAAACTGCCGTAGAAGCATGAAAAAATCCATTATTTCCACTATCGATGGGAGTTGGGAAATGCAAAGTCGGTCTTGGCCTTCCCGCTAACTTGGAGCATGTGCATGTAAATTTTGGTGCAAATCCGTCGAAAATTGCGACCACACACATCCTACCTTTTATATATATATATATATATATATATATATATATATATATATATATATATATATATACAAAACAAGGAAGGTACACAGCCACCTCAATTCGCATGCTGTAATATCAGAACCATGCTTGAAGTCTTTATTTGGATGATACTAAGTCAAACATTCCAACAACGTTTTCAAACGTCCAGTAGCATTTTAGGATAAATTTATTTAATTCCAGTCATAGCTGGCTTGCCATCATTATTTCTAATAATCTAAATCTTAAAAGA